CGGCGCTCCCACCCGAGGGTTCGGATCCCACATACAGACCGGTTCCCGCTCACTGGATGAGCGAGGTGCGGGCGCAACGCCGAGGGTTGCAATCCCGTTGCTGGTCCGGTCCGGTACGGGGGCAACACTGAGGGTTGCGATCCGTTGTCGGACACGGAAAAAAGACAAAAAAAAAAAAGAAATAAATTAACAAATGTACAGAAATTCTTAATAACAAAATGTAAATTGAGAGACAAGCAGTATTAAGCAAACAGAGTCACAGTGGCATTTCTGTTTTAGGTGGAACAAAGTTAATTATAAAACTCACTATAAAAGAGAAGTTAGAAACCCACAACTCAAAATTAACTGGCTACTCCTAAATCAATTAAAATCATTTTACAGAAAATTCAGAGCTCAAAGGAAAAATTTCAAATTATAACATACCTTATTTATCTGACAGAAACAGAAAGCAAAATATTCTAGGTATGTGAATTTTTCTCAACTGATACTGCACTTAAAGTTAAGTGCTAAAACTATTTGGAAAAAATACTTATCTTACTGAATATATACATAGCATAATTTTACTTTAGGTAATTGTAACAAACATTAAATAAAACAACAATTTTTTTGTCACTATGTTTTGTTTGTTTTTCTTATAAAGATGTAAGAGAATGTCTGAGTCCATATTCTTCTGAGCTTAAGAGTGGACATAAAAATCCCTTCAGACCATGAGATTTAGTGGTTTCAGACAGTTAAGATTTCTGGAGTTTAATTGCTGAATAAATAGAATTTTTAAAAAAACTCTTTTAGAGAATTTCAGACTTAAGGTAGTCAAAATTACATACCACAGGAATAACATTTGCAGCCATATCTGGAAATCGGACAGAACAGGAATGCAATGTTCGCACAAGAAGTTGTCTGTACTTGTCAGTATCTTCATGCTCAGATACGTTATTTGTTTTAATCACTTCTTTCTTCAGGACAATAACCAACTACAGAACAAAGTAAAAATAAGTGAGAATCACATCATGTCTGTCCTGATAGCTTACAAAGTGCTGTCACAGTTTTGTTTTACCTCTTCAACATTCCTAGAAGAGACAAGATCCAGTGCTAACTGCAGAGTTTTCTTGCGTACTTCTAAGTCTGGTGTGCTGAGTACTCTTAGGATATCCATAACCAGATCCTAAAAAAGTTAAAAAAAATCAAGAAGACCAATCTTCCTGGTTACAACATGGAAATCTTAACTACAGAAAGGCAGGTTCTGTTCATCATCACCTTAATCCTTGATCAAAGATAAAATCTCTCTAGTGGTAGAAGAAGTAGATATTTTACATCTCTTGATGTAATGCAATATGAAGTAATATCACATATGATGCATTCAAACTGAATATGTGTACTTTGACTCTGTCAAGCTTCAGATCCAACTACTAGTTTATAGGAAATGTAGAAATTAGAAACAAGCGAAATGACACCACGGACACATCTAGGAGGAGGGGAGGGGAGTTTTACAGGTCAATTGGTCTGGTGTCTTTTATAAGTGTCATGAAAAAAGATAGACACCACGGACACATCTAGGAGGAGGGGAGGGGAGTTTTACAGGTCAATTGGTCTGGTGTCTTCAATAAGTGTCATGAAAAAAGATACTATTCAAAATTAAGAGATTGGAAGGACATAACAACCAGACAAACTGGACAAACCAAACAAAAAGGGCATCTTTGGGACACTTGGGAAAATCTGAATCTAGACACGGTATTAGATAATATTAAGAAATTATTGACAATTTTGTTAAGTATGATAATATTATTTGGCTCTAAAGGAAAATGTAATATTTTAAAACATAAACTTTTAAAAATATATAGCACAAAAATATTTTAAAATATAGCAAAACTCTAATTTACAAATTATTTTGCTTCTTCAAAACTTATATTTTTCAAAAATTTCAAACTAATAAAAAAGTGCTAAAAGTCCTAAGAGTGACTCCTGTGTACCCTTTACCAATTGTTAATATTTTGCTACATTTGCTTTATCATACTTTCTCTGCTGCTAAACATTTTAGTGTATATCTCCCAAGAATAAGGATAATTTCTTATATAACTACAACGTAATTACCAAATGCAGAGAATTTAACATTGATCAATACTATTAACTAATGTACAGTATGTATTCACATTTCTCAAACTGTCTCAATAATGTCCTTTACAGCAATTTTTTGTTGTTATTTTGATCCAAGATCAGCATTATATTTAGCTGTTATGGGGCTTTATTTTTATAACCATCATTACTCTCATGGATTAAGTAAGTTTGTCGATAATTTTCTAGAGCCTGATCATCTTTTATTCTCACTGAATGGGAAAATTATTTTCCAAGAAATGTAAATTATGTTCAAGTGAATATATCTCTTTTGTTAAGAATACTCAGTTACTCAGTACAGTACACACAGAAACGGTAAAAAAAATATGTTAATTTCTTTTGTAAATATTTTTTATGACAAAGACAATAATACCCCAAAATGCTATGGTGGTTCAAGTTACCCTTTAGTTGACCAAAATTTAAACTGCCTAGTCTTCAAGTATTTAAGTTAAACAAGACACCAAGGCTTGTGTATGATTTAAATTTGAAAAATAGTTTTTTTGTTTTTTGGCAGATGGCCGATAGGGGATCCAAACCCTTGACTTTGGTGTTATCAATGTTGCATTCTAACCAACTGAGCTAACCATACAGTCCTGAAAAATATTTTATTTAAGATCTCTATCTTTCAGGCATCACTTACCTGTAATACACGTTCATGAGCAGGATGCTCTTTCAATTCTATCAATCGATCCAGAACTATGAGCTTTACATTGTTGTCACTCTCCTTAATAATTAAATCAATGTAACACTGAGCAGCAGCCTATATAAAAACAGAAATAAATTTTAAGAAGTCATTCATCTATTGCAAACATAGTATCTGAAAATAAGACAAAAAAGAAAAAAGTCCCTAAGAAGCTAAAATACCCTCATTAACACTTCCATTAGATTTTATGCATTTCACTCTGAGGAATGTGTCCCTTTATTCCCTAAATGCTAACAAACTTGTTATTTTTCAAGCTTAGAAAGATTAGAAGAATTACAAATTAAAAGGATAAAAAAAGGGTTGCTATAGGCAGAAAAACTTACCAAAAGCCAAAAATTAAGGTTTGAAACTAAGAAACAAGACAGAAAGAAGCAGAGAACCCTAGAAAAGTATAGTTATTGAGCATATTTCAGCTAAGGGGCAAAGTCTAACACATCTGCATTACAGTACCAAAAAGAAAGGATATAAAGATGACCTTCAGTAATTATTTTAGTACGTATTTAGTACGTTTATTAATAAGACAAAAAATACATATGAAGTATTTTAGAATGATGAAATTTAAAAGCAAAGAACAAAGGAACAAATGTTAAAGAGCTCTTAATTGCCAAAGCTGGAACAATTTGATCAATAAAATAAATAACGATAATATTGGAATATGATCCATAGAATAAAATATTTACACTTATATAAAGAAGAAAGAAAAGAATGGAAAAAAGGGAGGGAAGAGAAAGGACAACTCTCCCTTGCATAAGAATTCCATTTAATAAGTGTAAAATGAGGGAAATAGAAAATCACTATTAGAATACCACAGTAATAATGTTGCAGAGAAAATCTACTGGTGGATGCTAAAATTAGTAGGTGTAAATTTGAGAAGCAACAGAATATTTGCAGTCTTAAAGTAAGTGATACCCCACAATATTTATTGGTATCAATGGGAAAAATCGTATCATAACAGTGGAGAAATCTGGCAGATACCATTGCTATAGTTTACATATAATTGGCCCTCCCAAACTCATGTTGAAATTTAATCCCCAATGTGGAAGTGTTGGGAGGTGCGGCCCAGTGGAAAGTGTTGGGGTCATGAGGGCAGATCCTTCACAAATAGATTAATACCCTCCCTTGGAGGAAGAGGATGGAGTTGTTGTTCTGTTAGTTACCATGAGAACTGATTGTTAAAAGGAGCCTGGTAACTCCCCTCCCTTCCTCTCTTGCTTCTCTCTCCTCATGTCATCTCTTACACAGGCCAGCACCCCTTCCACTTTCTGCTGAGTGGAAGCAGCCCAAGGCCTAAGCCAGATGCAGCTGTCCCAGAATTATGAGCTAAATAAGCCTCTTTTCTCTATAAACTACCTAGTCTCAGATATTGTTATAACACAAAAACAGACCAAGACAACCACTTTCACTGACTGATAAAGGTTAACATCACCAGTAATAAGATATATAGAAATAATGTACTCCTCAATATGATACACTGAGAAGGGCACATCACTTCTGTGGTATTCTTCCCCAAAATGTATAAAAATGTATAACCCCAATCAAACTATGAGGAACATTAGACAAACCCAAATTGAGGGCTACTTTACAAACTCACTGGTAGTTTTCAAATTTGTCAAGGTCATGAAAAACAAGGACAGGCTGAGGTACTATCACAGATTGGAGGAGACTAAGACATGACAACCAAATGCAATGTAGGATCCTGGGTTGGATCCTGAGACAGAAAAAGGACCTACGTGGGAAAATTGGTGAAATTTGAATAAAGTCTATAGTTTAGTTAATAATATTGTTCCAATGTTAATTTCGTAGTTTTGACAATTATACAATGGTTATGCAAGATGTGAAACACTGTGGAAAGCTGGGTTAAAAAGCATATGGGAACTTTTTCCTATTTTTGCAACTTTTCTGTAAGAATAAAATTATTTCAAAATAAAAGTTATAAAAAATTTCAAAGTATTGGTGGGTAAAGCAGTAAATTGTCCTATTTATACAATATGGCTTTCTAGAACAATGCATTCTCTGAATATATTAGGGTTCCTGATATAGCCTTTTTTTTTTTTTTTTTGGCAGCTGGCCAGTACAGGGATCAAATCAGGGACCTTGGTGTTATCAGCACCATGCTCTAACCAACTGAGCTAACTGGCCAGCCCTGATACAGTCTTGATAGAGTAAACTAAAGAAGAGAAAGACAATATTCCGCTACTGAAAATACTCACTGGAACCTTTTTTAGGATCCATCATTTAGGATCCAGACTCATTTTCCCAGATACAGTTTTTAATGGAAAGTATGGAAAGAGATCTTAAAATATCAGTATCATTCTCCAGAAACTAGAAATACTGTTATTCTGTCTCTCTCGCTCTGTGTGTGTGTATGAAAGCAGGAAGGTTGGACTATGTAAGGAATCAAATTTTACAAAATTTGTAGTTGTTCTCTCTATGCCATGTAACCATACAGTGAATTGCAATGTCACTAAATTATAGGTGATAAGAGACAACATGTCTATTATCTAATCTAACCCCAAAAGAAATAAGCAGTACCTTGATAGCAGTTGGTGCACTAGAAAGTGTCACTAATGTCCCAGCAGCTTCATATTTCACAGCAGGGCTAGAAGACTGTAATAAGTTATAGATGCAGCGAATGAAACGAGCCCTTTCTGATGGATTAGCATGACAGACCTGAAGAAGAAAACATTTAGTTTTCAACTGATTTCAGGGTCACTTGGTTCTAAATGGAAATTTTTTTATGAATTTCAGCTCATGGGATACTAGTTTTCTTAATTTGAAAGCTAAAAATAGTCTTATAAGAAAATATGAAAATGTTGGCCAACATGGGATGAGGCACTGACATAACACCGGCAATTTCAGAAAGAAATAAGTTTTATTTCAAATAATTGTTACAGCTACTTATTTATTCGTTCTATTATAATTTATATTTTTACTGCTTGACATCAGGTTTTCAGATAGCTTATAATAAAAGATATGCATACTATACACAGTGAAAGAGAAACAGAAAATGTAAAATAACAAAAGCAAAGACACATTAACCAAGTACACTAATATGGGTACTATGATAGGATATTAAATTTGGTCCTAAATTTTCACTCTGGAAGCTATGTCAAAAGGGAAACATGATGGATGACATAAATCTCAATAGATGATAAAAAGAAAACATCAGTTTTTCAAGAGAGAAAGATAATCTTTTCTTCCAAGTTTCATTTCCTGTTATTTGGGACCATATTCTATTCTGCAGAGGAAACTAAAAATTTTTATCCTGTTCTAAATGCATTCTGATACCTTCACTTATGAAGAAAATATCCCTTACTTTTTCTTTTGAAGTTAGTATTCATATTAGATTTTCCTAAAATATATATAATCAAATCTCTATTACTTGAGCACGAATTAGAAGCTATTCCCTCTTACTATGACTTGGACCCTCTTACTATAACCTGGACAGAAAAGTCACTAAATAGCAGAGAACCCCTATTTTTGAGAATATTAGTGGCATCCCTAAACCATACACACGAATTAAAATGAAGTATATATTTAAGATCCTCGTTTCATCTTAAATGACAGTTCCAAACAATTGGTACCCTGTGTTGAGAGGGGTCCCTTTCCTGCAGAAACAAAACCAGCTATAATCAGCTGTGTCTGCCATGGGTGTTTTGTCCATATCATCCTATTTAATAAAGCCATTTTTTCCCCCCTTTTTGTCTTTTTTCGTGACCGGTAACGGGATCGCAACCCTTGGTGTCGCGCCCGCAATTTCATCTTAAATGACAGTTCCAAACAATTGGTACCCTGTGTTGAGAGGGGTCCCTTTCCTGCAGAAACAAAAACAGCTATAATCAGCTGTGTCTGCCATGGGTGTTTTGTCCATATCATCCTATTTAATAAAGCCATTTTTTTCCCCCTTTTTGTCTTTTTTCGTGACCGGTAACGGGATCGCAACCCTTGGTGTCGCGCCCGCACCGCGCTCAACCAGTGAGCAAACCGGTCTCTATATGGGATCTGAACCCTCAGCGGGAGCGCCACCGCGCTCCCAAGCGCTGCACTCTACCGAGTGCGCCACCGGGCTGGCCCCCATTTTTGATCTATAGTTTTGTTAGCCTCTAATGCTATCAGTAGCAAAATTGGATGTTATTCCACCTTTTGTTTTATCAGAACACTAATATGCAATCATTCTTTCAAAGGATATATCAAATTAAAGTGTTGTCAATAATGTAGTTCATTTAAAAATCCAAGGCTGGCTGGTTAGCATAACTGGTTAGAGTGCAGTGTTATAACACCAATGTCAGGGGTTCGGATCTCCATACCAGCCAGCCACCAAAAAAAAAAGATAACATAAAATCCAAATTTCTTAGCTGGTTTTAGACTTCCTGTTAGTCAACGTTCTACAAGGTCTATTTAAAGTTTCTCTCTTCTCTTTTACAAACAGGGAAGAAAAAAAGTATTTAAGGCTTTGTTTCTTTTTAGATTTCCAAAGTCATCTGGTATATACTCAAGAAAAGATCTTAAATGGTATTCCAAGCCTAATTCATAATCTTTTAAGTGACTGGACAGTACACTATGTTTTCTTTGCACTGGCTCAAGCCATGAATTTATAGAATTCCTTACAGAGGTTTAGCAAGAATAAAAACAAGTACAGTGTCCACAGATTGGTTCCAAGCCCCCCCCACCAAAATCCACAGATTCTCAAGTCCCTTATATAAAATGGCATAGTATTTGCATCTGACCTATGCATGTCCTCCTGAATACTTTAAATCATTTCTATATTACTTATAATACCTAACACAATGTAAATGCTATGTAAATAGTTGTTATACTGTATTTTTTATGGAATAATGACAAGGAAAAAAAAGTTGGTACATGTTCAGTACTGATGCCTTTTTTTGTGATTATTTTTGATGCACAGTTGAATTCATGAATGAAAAACCTGCAGATATGAAAGGTCAACTGCACTTGGAAAAATATAATAAACCAAAGAAAAAAGAACAAAATCAGGTTTATTAGGCCATACTGTAAAATATTTCTACTATTAAAACATATTATCCTAGCAATTAAGTAGCATCCCAGAAAAGAAGCTATTTAACCTTGTATTAAACCAGAGTTTACTTTACCCATTATAGATTGTCATTCTTACCTTATAAATTAGTTCAACAATCACCAGCTGCAGAATGTCTCCAAATGTTTGAACTTGATCAATACAAGTACTTAGGTAATCCAAAGCTCGATCCTAAAAAAATAAGAATATATTTACTATATTCCACCTCATTCAATACAAGAACTTAATACCACTTAAATATATACACATTACAACTACATATAAAACAAATGAGGATATCAGGGCAAAGAAAAGTTAAATGGAGAAAACTGAAGAAGCCAAGAATGAGGTTAACACATACAATGTTAGACATAAAGTCAAATACATTTTCTAGAAATAGGCCACAAATCTGAGGCCAAAATCTTCTAGCAACTAAACCAGAGAGAAAAACAATATGTGCTACATGATTCAGGGTATCCCTAAATCAAAACAAACCAGCTGCTTAGGATAATGATCCCTATTACTGAAACATGTAAGAAAAATCTCCTATGAGTCTTCATATATCAGACACTGTGATACAGAGAACCATGGTCTCAAAAATCTCTCTACAGTTGGGCCGGCCCGGTGGCGCACTGCTACAGTGCGCCGCTTGGGAGTGCGGTGGCGCTCCCGCAGAGGGTTCGGATCCCACATACAGACCAGTTCCCGCTCACTGGCTGAGCGAGGTGTGGGACCAACACCAAGGGTTGTGATCCCGTTGCCGAACACGAAAAAAGACAAAAAGGAAAAAAAAAAAAAATCTCTCTACAGTAAAAATATCAATAAATTTTATTGAGCTATTTCTGATT